ATATATATATATATATTCGTATATATACGTATATGTATGGATCGATTTATCTGTGCATGTTTATATATATACAGAGAATTATTACCTAATTCCTTATTTCTTTAGATTCAAGGGTTTAGGGTTTAGGGTTTAGGGTTTAGACCTATCTGTTGTTTTATTCGTTTATTAGTATATATTTATTTATACACATATATATACATATACATATACATATACATATACATATACATATACATATACATATACATATACATATACATATACATATATACATATACATATACATATACATATACATATACATATACATATACATATACATATACATATACATATATATATATAAATACATATATATATATATATATTATAATTTATTATGTATATATATTCATAAAAAAATACACCAATGGACCATCAACAGGACACCAATGGTCAATCAGCAAACAAGACAGCAAGAGGGTTTATATTAATAAATAAAATAAATATAAATAAATAAATATAAATAAATAAATAAATAAATACAAATAAATAAATAAATAAATAAATTAAATTGCATGTAGTATAAAAAAGAGCAGTGCAACAAACCCCCATGCAATATAAATACACAACAGTGATTGTATAAACCCTAGCAGCAACAACTCTAAACCCTAAACCCTAAACCCTAAACCCTAGAAGGAATATAAACGGTACCTCTGCAGCATGATAAACCCTAGGTGAGGGTCTCCTTGCATCTGCAGCAAGGATAACTTCTGTCCATCTAAAAGGAGACGCCTCTACATCCATATGCCATACATCGCTTAATGGTCGCTCCCTGTACACCCCAAAACCCTAAACCCTAAACCCTAAACCCTAAACCCTAAACCCTAAACCCTAATTAATCGTGGTAAATCATTATAGCACCTCTAAATAAACTATAAAAAAACCCTAATATCCCCAAATAGATACAGTGTATTCTAATGTTCAATAGTATATATAAAAATAAGGGTTTAGGGTTTAGACGGATTAGGGTTTATATTTATATATATATAAATATATAATTAGGGTTTATAACGAACCCATCATTGCCTCCATGTAATATAATATTAGGTTTACTATACCCCATAACATGACCATATCTTCTTCCTGGTGTTCTTCCTTGTAGGGGTACAGCTAACCATTGAAGGTGTGGCTCTTTTCTTAAATCTAATAAATATAACTGAATATATATACATAAACCCTAAACCCTAAACCCTAAACCCTAAACCCTAAAAATTATTATTTTTTATAACATATATAACATGAATTATAATCGTAATAGGCTGGTTATATATAAGCATATATGTATAGATATACACAATAAACCCTAAACCCTCAATAAACCCTCATAAACCCTCATAAACCCTCATAAACCCTCATAAACCCTAATAAACCCTAATAAACCCTAATAAACCCTCACGAACCCTAATAAACCCTTACAAGCCCCCATAAACCCTCATAAAGAAGAAGAACTAAGATTAATGAATAAATAGAGGGAAGAAGTAGTAAAGTTTACCTCCTCAGGACTAAGACTTCCTCCTCCTGTAGCACCACCAAATACAACAAGTTGTAGCGTATCTACACAACATGCTGCATGCGCAGCACGAGGGTTTGGAGGATTTTCTGCCATCAACTTTATCCATTGGCCATTTGTTGTATTAAATAAAAAAGATTCATTTGTTATACTGTACCCTCCTGCAGCTGTATACATATATACATATATATACGTATACGTATATATATATATATATTATA